GCATTCGCCTGAGGCGTGAGGGGCCGGCGACTTGGCCGTGCGCAGACGCCTCGCTGTTGCAGAGACTCAGGAAGACTAGGGCCCATCGAAGCCGAAAGCCAGGAACAGTGAAAGGGCAGGTGCTTTGTGGCTGTGCATCTTCTCACAAACTGACTGAGGTCCCCACCCCTCAGGTTGTCCCCTTGGGGCGCAGAGAAGTCAGGGCCAAGGACCTGGTGCGGCAGCTGCAGCTGGAGGCCGAGGAACACAGGAAGCAGAAGAGGCGGCAAAACGTGTCAGGCCTGCACAGGTCAGATGGCCCCGGGGCGCGCAGCACAGGGCCCAGAGATTCAAGGCCGAGGGCGGACTCAGGGTGCTCCAGGCCTGCAGGTGCCGCACAGAGGGTCCCAGCAGAGCCCGCCTTCCCTTCTGTTGACTTAGGCCATTAGGAGTCTAAAGCCACGAGCTTGAAAACTCCTCCTTACAGGTGGAAAAGAAAGAGAAGGCGTCTCCCCTCTTGATTCACTCTGTTGTTAGGGGTAAAGGCAAGGGTGTCAGACCAGGGTGCTGCCTGCAGGCCTGAGCTCGGACAGAGGATGCAGACACTGCTGCAGAGAGGAGCACACTGAGGGTGCGGGCTTTGTGCACCTCACAGGAGGGCCTGGGATGCACGCCGGTGCACAGGCGGAGAGGGAACCCCCGGCAGCAAGGGCAGGCAGCCCTCAGCCACAGCCCTTGATCAGGGCCCTGGCTAGGATAGGCTGCCCCCCAGGGTTCACTGGGCCGGAAGCTGGTAGACACTCCCTATAAACACAGGCCTCAGGCTGTTTCCATCCCTTGGCTTGTTAAATGTGCCCTTGATCTTACATTGAACTTTGATGTGTCCAGTGCAAGCTTTTGGTATGTTTTGGGAGCTAAGCGACGACCTGTATTTCTCCCCACAGGTACCTCCACTTACTGGATGGGAAAGAAAACTACCCTTGCCTGGTGGACGCAGACGGTGATGTGATTTCCTTCCCACCAATAACAAACAGTGAGAAGACCAAGGTGAGGCAGTATCTGGAGGCATGTGAGGCTCTTTCGCAGGGAGAGCTAACAAAGTGTCTGCTCCGCCACGCGACAGGGGGTGCGGGCTTGGGCAGCTGCCCCTGAGCATGCTGCGTAGGGGCCCCGGTGTTGGAGGTGACAGCACCCTTTTTTTGGTGTTTCTCAGGGTACATTTTGCAATTGCTGATGTCTACTTTCGGTAACTTATTCTCTGAACTCTTCCCAAACTCTTTTTAAGATTAAGAAAACAACCTCAGATCTGTTTTTGGAGGTAACAAGTGCTACTAGCCTGCAAATCTGTAAGGAGGTCATGGACGCCCTGGTTCTGGTGAGTAGGCCACGTGGTCTAAGCCATGGGGAGCAGGTCACTTGCCCTGTGCTCTGCCACCCTTTGTGGCAGCCTTCCCAGAGCCGCTCCAGTCTGTAGGCTAAAGACATACTTGTCATTTGCAGAAAATGGCAGAAATCAACAAATACACCTTAGAAAATAAAGAGGAAGGCTCCCTCTCAGATACCGAAGCTGATGGCGTTTCTGGACAACTTTCAGATCCCAGAATGGATCCAAGCGCTGGGAGAGATGGCGGCGCCCCGCTGGTGGTGGAGCAGGTCCGGGTGGTGGACGAGGAGGGGCACCTGAAGGTGGTGTACCCGTCCAAGACAGACCTGGCCCCCGTGGCCGCCCATGTAACTGTGGTCCGCTGACGGGCCGCCGCGGTGGGCACCGCGGGCACACCTCCGGCCTGCAGTGCGCGCCCCTGCTCTGCAGGGGGTGTGTGTGCCGACAGTGCGCTGTTCACAGCTCCACCCCGGGGCTTTTTAAGATAGGTGCACCCTTGTTTAGCTTTCCGGACGACGCAGTGGTAAAGCGCTGCGGTTGTCCGTGCGTGAGTGCAGTGCCTTTACACCAGACTGACCGACCTTCGTGGAATCGCCTGAATGTCAGAATGTTCTGAGGTCATGTGGACACACAGCAAACAACTGTTCCCAAGGAAGAAACACACTGATTAGTTTGAATATTCAGTTCTTAACCGAGAAGCCAAATAACGTGCATTTTACTGAATTGCAGTTATTTTTCTATGACATAGCACCTTTTAAAGTCCTACTGTACCAGTTGTGCAGCTTAGGAACGTGGAGCAACATCGTTATTTGCCAGCTTGCCACAAATGATTTTATTAAAAAAAGGTTTTCAGTGTGGCCGTGGAGCTGGCAAGAACATTTTCCTTGGTGTTGCCTCAGCAGAGAGATCCCAGGCCCTCGGGAAGCAAGAGCACGCGCCGCGCTGGCCCAGAGGCGAGGGGGACCGTGAGCTTTAATCGAATGTGCCTCGGTGCCAGGGGGCCAGGCAGGTGTCAGGACCCTCATCTCCAGCAAATGTGCAGGTTTCCGTGGCCAGAGAGGCTTCCAGGAATGGGCAGGACAGGTCTGTCTGTAAGTTGTCAGCCACCGTCAGCTGGCTATGGGGTGGGTGGTGGCAGTGGCTAGAGAAGGCCTGAGGTTTTTGAAGCCAAAAACCATGGAGTGTGCCAAGAGCATGGTTGTCCAGCGTCCTGTGCTGTCAGTGTTTCCAAGGCTGATGTCTCCGACCGTAGGCCATCCTGGTCTGCGTGTGTTCTGTGCAAGCACACACATGCACACTCCTCTCTGGAACCAGAATGTTCTTGGGTCCAGGATCCGGCCAGCTACAGAGTAGGTAGTTTCACTGAACTCACTGCCCCCTGGTCTGGCTGAGCATGAGAAGCAGCGTCGTCAGCTTTCTGCACTTCGACCATTTGCTGCATGGTCTCCTGCCTGCCAAGGACAGTCTGTGTGCTGTGCTAATGTTTTGCGAGCCTGTGTGGGAGCACCACTGAGTCCATGCTTTCGGCCACCAGAACCAGGCACGTGTGGGCACACTTGTAAAGCCAGTTTTCCCAGAGCTCAGCCAATCCTCTGTAGGACACAGAGGGCTGCCTTGAGATTCCACCGTGGCTCTCTCATCACCCCGAGCCTTCCTGCCGGTCCCTGGACCTGGCGGCTGCTTAGCTGGGCTGCAGTAGTCGGGCCACAAGACAGCTTTTCCTTCTCTCTTGTTTTGCCCCAACACTTACCAGCCTGTGTGTTGGTGGGTCCGACTTGCCGCCTCATGACCCTCGGGCAGTCGGGCTGTGGGTGCTACGGCTGGTCTCGGGGAAGCCCTGCCAGCAGCCCCAGGCTCTGCACTGGTCACATCGTCAGATCTGACTTGGCTGATGGCAAAGCTGCCAGCCTGCTGTCTCCTGCTGCAGCCTGATTCCAAATGAGGTTTGGAACTGTGTTTAACTGAGGGCAGATGACCTCCTTTACATTCTCCTTGCCAGTCCAACCCGCTAAGATCTACTAAGAACATCTCTGCTTCTTCCTGGTGAACACTTTCCTGCTGGTATTTCTGGAGGCGGGTGTTGGAAATGTCTGAGGAGGCTGAGGACCTGGGACCCAGCCCCACACCCTCCCCAGCCAGATCTTGGTCAGCAAAGGGCAAGAGGCATGTAAGTGTCATCACACAGATGTAGTCCAGAGAAGCTACTAGCTCCCCTTAACCCAGGATCCTGGGAATGTGGGGGATCCCCCACTTGGGGGTGCCCAAAGGAGTCAAGTCACTGGGACCCACCCCCACAGATCATGCCCTTCCTGAATGTGGGAGGGGAGGCTGCCAGGCTACTTGACAGGGTCCTGTCCCGTGCTCTTCCTGCTCTCCAGGGCACGAGTTCTGGGGGATGTGACCCCAGGCACACTCAGGTCCAGCTGGGGCAGTGCGTGGGGGAGACGTTCACATGGAGGTGGCGAAGGCCTCTTTTCCACAGAAAGGGGACACTGCAGCCGGCCAGGTTGGTGCACCTGGCTCTCCATCTTGAGACGTGCTGGGCCTTGGGGCACGCAGGATGTGACTGGCCAGGTCCAGGCTGGACCTGTGTCAGCCTCTGCCCTCCACTGGTACCCTCGGGGTCTGCCCCACACCTGGGGAGGTGTGTGTGAGCACCTGTGGACATTGCCTGTAGTGGCCCCACCATCTGCCTCTGTACTGCCTCTCCAGCTATGCTCCAGCCTTGCCCCTGGCCCGTCCCATCTGCCCAGGCCAGCAGCAGACCTGCTGCCCAGGAGCTGCTCAGGGAGTGTGGCCTTGGAGGCTGCAGGGCGTCTCGGAAGCCAGACCCTCGGGAGGGCACCCCTCTCTTTGCCCCATGTCCTTGCCCAGCTCCCAGCTGAGGCTGCACCAGGCCCTGGGGAGTCCAGGTCCCGCACCTTTGCAGACTGTTGACCTCTTGGAGTCTCCGGTGCCCTGCAGCCCAGCTGCTGGACCAGTGCCTCTGCCCACCTCCCCACAGCTCCCTCCTGTCAGTCCTGTCATGGCAGGGACGGACTCCCCGCAAGTATGGCCATTCAAGGGAGGGAGGCAGGTCCCTTAGGAGACAGGGGCTGAGGCCGAGAGACCTGGCCAGCCGGAGCAGACCCTTTGCCCAGACCCCACGGCAGGCCCCTGCTGGTTCAGCTTGCTGCATGGACACCCTAGCCCAGCACAGTCGGGCCCGCTGGGCTCACTCTTTGAGGTCGGAGCTGGGGGTGGCATGGGCGGCTCGGCCCCACCTCACATCCACCTGGCCTGGGGAAGGCTGGCCCTGTGGGGTCTCTGTCCCTCCCTGCCAGCTTGGTCTCGGACACCGGGGACTTGCCATGTGGCCTCTGATCTCAGGACCAGAAGGTTAGAACTGTCTCTCCCATCCTGAGGGCAGGACCGCTTTCCTAAGACGTTTCTGGCACGTCTGCAGGCCTGAGACACAGGTTTGCCGTTGGTGAGGATGAGCACACACCTGCCCTCGGGGCCCAGCAGGGAGGAGGCACACGCCAAGGCCCAGGGCCACGTGGGAGGGGCACAGACTCCCTCCCACCCTATGCAGATGCCCTCCTTTGGGGCTCACATTGGGCAGGTGCCGGGAGGATCCTGGGAAGAGACTGCCATCCTTCCTTCAACAGACATTTAATGACCGCCTTCATGCACAGGTGGAGCAGCCGCTGGGGCCTCCCAGTGAGGTGGGCAGTCCAGGGAGAGCCACGGCAGTTACTTGGGGGAGGGCATGGTGGTGGGCCTGGGACTAGGGTCAAGGCCCTGCTCCCTGCCACAGCTGGGAAATGACCTCCAAGTTGGGGTCTCAGCCCCGGGGAGGGTGGGCAGCGTGACAGCTCTTCAGGGCCATCCTTGCCCAGCAGCAGTCAGAAAGGGTCAGAGACAGCAGAGGGGCACAGTATTCACCCAGGGAAGGCCCTTGTGGGGGGAGTGTTGTCTGGGGCAGTGGCGGCCCTGGGGGGCTCCGGGTTGTGGGCCTGGCCTGTGTGTCCGTCAGCCCTGCTCAGGCCCATCTCCTGGACCAGTGCCTCTGCCCACCTCCCCACAGCTCCCGCCCATTAGTCCTGATGGCCGGGACGGACTCCCTCCCCGCAAGTACGGCCATTGGAGGGAGGCAGGTCCCTTAGGAGAGAGGCGCTGAGGCCGAGAGACCTGGGCCAGCCGGGGCAGACCCTTTGCCGGGAACCCCACAGCAGGCCCCTGCTGGTTCAGCTTGCTGCCTGGACACCCGGGCCCAGCACAGCCGGGCCCGCCAGGCTCACGCCTTGAGGTCGGAGCCGGGGGTGGCATGGGCGGCTCGGCCCCACCCCACATACGCCCTTGGTGGCTGGCTGCTTGTGCTGGGTATGTGTGCGCGGGTCCTCCACCTGCGCCCACATGTGGGCCTGCAACAGCTGTCGGGGGGTGGGGGGTGTATTGGGGAGGACTTGTGTAGGGGGGGTCCAGGTGTGGGAGGGGGTGCTCGTACTAGGGGGGCCCCTCGGAGCCCCCTACCCCAGGTGCAGAGCCAGTCCCGGGGGGGTGCAGGGCAGTGGTCACTTGCACTTGTGCACGTAGTAGCCGGTGACATAGCCCAGGATGAAGATGACCCAGAAGAGGGCCACTCCACCCAGCACCTTCATGGCAATGCCGCATGTGCCCGAGCACAGCTTCTGGGAGACCCTAGGACAAGAGTTACAGGCACCTGAGCTCCGGGTGGGCCCCCAGGGGACTGGGCGGGAGGAGGGGCTGGGCTGGGCTGGGGAGGAGGGTGAGTGGGCCCCAGAGGCGGGCAGCCTGGTGCTCTGCTTGCCTTGGGAGACAGCCAAGCAGGGTAGATGCAGGCAGGTGTGCGGGGCCCTGGTTTGCCAAGATGCCGGGGGTGGGCACCCAGCCGCTGAAACCGTGTGGGCTGTGCACCCATGGAGCCCGCACAGGGCTCCTCCTCTGCAGCCCTCACCTCTTCCACCTCGAAGCCTCCTCTGTGCTGGACACGGCCACCACGCTGACCTCGTCCTGGCTGCTGGGGTCCCACTTGCTGTACGGGACGCTGCTCTCCTGGGGCTGCATGCTGGAAGGCTGCGGGCTTCAGGGTTGGGGAGGCGACATGGGTGCTCAGGGCTCTGACTTCACAGGAAAGCAGAGCCATGTGGGCGTGGCTGCAAGTTCTGTGTGGGGCTGCTTTTAGGGCCAGGGTCAGCCTGGGGGCACAGTTGCAGGCAGGGTGGGGGCACTAAGGTGGGCTGGCTCCTTTACCTGCATACTCTTATCTGCCTTACTAGGCGACCTAGATGCAGAGCAGCTAAGCCACTAGCCTAGGGTCACGAGGAAGGCACAGACAAAGCGGGAGTTCTAACCCAGGCAGGCTGCAAGCTGGCCAAACCCTGCCCTCAGGAATGTGAGGCCACATTCCCGCCCGACCTGCAGCCTGGGGAGCTGCTGCAGAGACAGGACACCAGGCCCCGGAGCCTGACCGTCGCCTGCCTTCCCTCCCTCCCGACTCCTGAGAGGTCAGGCTCGTCCGGAGGTCAGGCTCGTCCGGAGGCTGAGAAGGAAAGGGCCGGGGCGGGGCGGTGGGCCTGAGGGCAGCAGCTGATACAGTCTCTCCTGGCAGCAGGGCCGCTGTCCGTGGGAGAAGCAGGGGATTGGGGGGTCGCCTGGGCCTGCTCGGGATCCAAGAGCTGGGGGAGGCAGGCAGTGCCAGCCCCCCCACTTCTAGAAGACTTTGCTCAGCTCCCATCTTCCAGGTTATTGTGGCCAGAGGCTTAAAGGCACAAGGGGCTCTTAACGGCACCATGCCAACCCAGAAACTCACGAAACCAGGCAGATCCCAAAGCCTTGATGTGCCTCGGTGCTTGCCTTTCCCTGAAAAGCCAGAATGGGGGGTAGGAAGGAAGGGGGCCTGTCTCAAGGCCACAAACCTTGTCTCTTTGGTGCGAGCCCTTGTTCTACGGCAGCCTTTCAGGGTGTTCTCAGACCTGGGGGAGGCCTGTTGAGTGTGGCTTCTGCTTTCTCAGGGTATGTCTGGGAGAGGGGCTATGGGCCAGCTATGTCAGCTGCCTCCCGAAGCCCAAATCCCCATCTTGTTCCAGGCAGCAATGTGCCAGCCCCAGGTGACAGCCATGGGTTAAAACAAGCTTAATACCCTGGTCCCTGCTTTCCCGTGTCACTCAGGTGTGGGCACAGTGCTGTAGTGCAGCAGGAGCAAGGGAGGGAGGGTGTTGCTCTCATGAAGGAAATAGCCACTTCCTTCTCTCCCTCCTGCCTTGATGTGATAGCTGGAGCTGCAGCAGCCATCCTGCAACTGAGTATCCATGCAACTCCAGCCCTCTTTGCAGTGAGCCTCTGAATCCACAGCAACTGCTTACAGGTTGAGAAGAGTCGCCCCTGATCTGTTCCAGCCTGGGGCTGCGGGTCTGGCAGGGGCACGCGTGGAGCCCTGGCGGCCTCGGGACAGCTGGGTGTGTGTGTGGATGTAAAGTCCTTGGCGCACGCGGGCTCTGCATATCTTAGGCCCCTTGGCCCACAAAGCACCTCCCAGGAGGCCACAACTTACGAAAGAAGAGCCCTGGCGTGGGAGCCGAAGCCTCTGGGACCCAGGAAGCCGCTCAGAACCTGCCAGCAGATCTCACGCCTCCGAGCCCAAAGGCCGAAGAGGGGCCGCCGATGCCTCCAAAGTCAAATATACGGAGAGAAAATAAAGGTAAAGAGGTGTGGCGCACATCGGCCGGGAAGGGAAAAGGGGCTTGGAGTGTCTGAACGCAGGTGGCCACCAGGAGCGAGGGGGCAGTTCCCGGGCAGACCTCCGCGGGCCCTTTCCGTGCCCCCAACCCTTCACCGCGGCAATTCCACCCTCCCGGGCCGGCCGCTCGCAGGAGGCCCACCTCCTCGCTCCGGCTTACAACGTTTAGGGACACCCCTACCCGGCTCACCTGGCGCCTGCGCCCCGGGCCGCGCCACGCGGAAGAGTCCCGGGCCCGGCGGGGCGGGGCGGGGCGGGGGGCAGGGGCGGGGCGAGTGGAGGGGCGGGCTTCCCCCGGCTTTCAGGACCGCGCCACGGAGGAGGCTCTTGCTGCAGGGAGGAGGGGGCGAGGGGCTGCAGAGCGCGCCGCCCCCCAGGGCCCAGACGAGGCAGGATCTAGGCCCTACCCACTGCTCACCCCGCGCTGGCGCCCCGTGCTCCCCAGAAGCCCGCCGGGACCCAGCTCCAGTGCTGAAGCGGGGCTTCGGGAGCCCGGGCTCGCCTGGGTCTGGAGGGAGAGGGGAGGTGCTCATCCCGGATTCCCTGCGGCCTGCACGCAGTCCCCTCGCGCTGTCCTTCCACCCGCCCCAGGGCCCTGAGCGAGCCCGGGGCCCCCACCCAGCGAGGACCGCTGCACTAAGAACGAATGCGGGGACAGGTGTGGCTGGAGAGCAAAGAGAAGGCGCCGTCCAGGTTCCCTCGTGCAGCATGTGTGCGCGCCCAAGGCCTCCGACGCACCGGACACGGACGGGAGCCACGGGCGCAGCGCGCCTGTCCCGTAGCTTTCTCTCCGGGAGCGGCGATGGAGCAGGAGTCCGCCGCCCTCCCCTTCCTTGCAGAAGGGTCGCCCCGTCAAGGGCCCTGGGCTAAGGGAGGCCCTACAGGAGGAGTCACATCTACAGCAAGACCCGTGTGGGGTCTGACCCGATGCAGGGACCGCGCGCCCAGTCTCAGGGCTCCTAAGCCTGGGACCGCTGGAGAGGACCCTTGCTACTGTGGGGTCTCCCAGGGAGCCAGGGGTACAGGCTGCGGTGCTAACCCCCAGTGAGTGAGTTGTGGAATGGGGGATGTCTCTGGTCCTGGGGGAAAGAAAGCTGAGGCCAAGGTGGGCAACGAGGTTTTAATTCTGAGAGGGAGAAGGTGGGGCTCCCAGGGGCAGCTCCTCTGCTGGGACGGTGGCCGCCTGGGGTCCCGGCCCCACCTACTTGGAGACCGCCTTCTTGGATTTGCTGGGCGAGGGTGAGACCTCTGACTGGTGCAGGGGTGGCAGCGGGACACCTTTCTGTTTCAGCTGACTGTAGTAGTCCGCCCTCTCTGAGATGATCCTCTAGGAAAGAACACCGGGTCTGCCCAGTGCCTGCTGGCTGCCTGGACCCATCCCTGCCCGCCTGCCCCCAGGGCTCGCTGCAGCAGTGGTGTGCTGGGGACACCCACAGTGGGCTCTGAGCAGGGGCACTGGCGGGCAGCATTCCCCCCATGGCTGAGCAAGCCACAGGACTCGGGGCTGGGAACGGGGGCCCACCACCGCTTCTGGGTCAGCTGGCCCTGGAGCAGGTGCTAAATCTACTGCATCAGGTCTCTGGGAAGGGCCCAGACTCAGACCCCTCAGGGGCCATCAGGTCTGTCCTTATGTCCCTCTGTCCTGCACCCGGGGATGTTGTCCCATGCCCTCCATAACTTCTGTCTCTTACTGGCAAGGAGAGAGCTTCTTGCTGGTACTGGGGGTACCCATGACTCTTCTCCCCAGCCCCCTCCAGACCCCTCTCTCCTGTCCTCTCACGCCCCCTCTCCCCCAAAAACGACAGCAGCCAGCCTGCAGAGACCTGTTCCCAGGTCCTTTGCAGGGTCCCCCTATCCCTTAAGGACTGTTGCCACCCAACAGGAGCACCACCGGCCAGATCCCCCACTTCACAGAGGAAATGACACATGGTGCCAGAAGGTCACAGGCACCTTCTGGTGCAGAAAGGCTGTGCTGTCATGGAGGCCTGGGATTGGGCAAAGAGCAGTCCCTGGTGAGAAGCGCCCCCCACACGGAGCACAGGCACTGGGCAGTCAGGGCCTCTGCTCCCCACAAGGCCTGGGAGGCAGACACACCCTCTCCTATGTGCAGAGGGAAGCTCCGTGGCTCAGTGAAAGTCAAGCAGCTCGGCCACAGCTCCCGGCCCGGGGTGTTGACTCGCTCCTGCCGGCCCAAAGCCTGCAGGATTTGTCTACCACCCTCCCTCTGAAGCCTCCGCTTGGGGTTGGCAGGAGGCTGAGCTCGCGGAGCCTGGGGAGGGTTCCTGCTGCCGAGTGTCCCCCGCAGTGGTCCTGCCTCCAGCCTGCTGCACCCAGGCACGGGCACTGCCTCTTCTGCCCCCTGAGTGTGAGCGGCCCCTTCACACTGCTACCCCTTCAGGAGAGCCGTTGCCCTCTGCCCGAGCAGAGAGAAAGGGTGACCCCAGGCCCCGAATGGGGCCCCAGCATCCCATCCGACTTTTCTCCTTTGCCTGCACTGCAGAGCTCCAACTGTGGCCTGGGTTGAAGAGGCGGCCGAGCGTGGATTTACCTGCAAGGCTTCCAGGATGTCATTGTCGGAGACCTCGGTGGCCAAGGACTTGATCCCTGTGGTGCTGAAGGTGGCCTGCATGGTCTTGTTTCTTAGTCTTTCCAGCTGGGAGCAAAGGGGAAATTTCCGTCTGGCCTTTGCCAGAGTGAGGAGGCCCACACGATGCCCGCCTCCCGATAAAGTCTCACAGAAGGCAGATCTGTCCTCACTTTACGTGGAACTGGAAACAGTAAGAGAAGTGGACATGGTGGCCTGCCTGCAAGCTAGAAGGCAGGGAGTCAAAAGCCAGGCCCAGTGACCTGCTGCCGAAGCCCGAAGGCTCTCCGCCACACTGACTTGCTTTCTGACTGACAAAGTAAGACCTGCACCTGGTAAACAAACTCACAAACAGCACAGGAGCTCGGACACCCCGGGCCGTCCTCCGTCCTTCCGGGAGAACAGGGTCTCCAGGCCTCTGGGAGGCGCCCTGCAGCCTGACGCCCGCACGCTCACCCTCGGGGGTCACTGAGACACCGGGAAGTTCCGCCTGCTGTGTGCGGGCCCTCCCTCCTTTTCTCAGGAGAGTCGAGGCCCCCACGCTGTGCACATCTGCATAAACCTGCCACTGACAGGAGGCGACCAGGTGGGCCAGTTGTCTAGCCTTGTGCTGCCATCGGCGTCCTTGCCCACGTTCAGGGCGTCTCCCCAGAGGAGCTGATCGTGCCTCCCTGGAACTCTGGAATGCACCCCTCCCGTCTGTCCCCAGAAGCCCTCAGGGCTCCGAAGGTATGATGATGAGTTCAGAGCCAGCTCCATGTGCACAGTGCCCCGAAGTCCCAAGGGTGCAGACGAGCCAAGTGACACGCAGACTGAAGCGCCTTGGCATTGCCCAGAGGGTGGCAGGTGTGTCTGCCTGGCTTGGGACAGGGCAAAGTGACACTGGGGTTGCTCTGAGCCCCTGGATCTCGAGCGGGAAGGGGGCTTCCTTTGCTTCTGTCCAGCACGCACTGGTGCCAGCTCTGTGCCAGGCTGTCTATGTGCAGGGGTCCCTGAGGGAGTGGGGGCCCGCCCTCCAGACAGCGATGGGGTGGCGGTCGCCTGGGGTGTCCAGCCTCAGTGCCCCACACCCGGTCTGTCTCTGATGTCCCATCAGCCATGGCACTACCTCCTGCCCACCCCACGCCCAGCTGAGGCTCTTTCTCAGCGCAGCACTCCAGGCTCTACCAAACGGGAGGAGCGGGCGCGTGAAGTGACACCCATACACCACAGCCGTCTAACATCTAGCTGGGAGTCCTGCTGGGTCAGGAACAGCGCTACAGAACACGGCAGGTGAGGAGGCCTCCGTGAGGCCAGCCGGCCAGCAGGAGGCCACCCCAAGTGGAAGGGGAGCAACGTGGCTGCAACAGGCCCTGCTGGTGAGCAGTGGGCACGTGGAGAAATGTTACTTCCGAGGGCTGCGTGCTCTGGGGCCTTTACCTTTGCTGGTGTTTGGGGTCCTAAGTCAGTCTGACTCTTGCCTGACCCTCCTCTCTCCCTGGTGCGGCCCCTCACAGCAGGCACACCCGGCCTCCCTCTGGGCCTTTGCTCAAATCTCTATGAGCCTCACACTGGGGTCCTGCTCTCCAAACCCCAGCACCGCATCCGTGCAGTCAGGGCTCGGCGGTGACACGCCCTCCTGCTGCAGGCTCCTTCTCTAGGAGATGAGGGCCCTGGAAGCCTGTCAGCAGGCCCAGAGGCTTCAACAAACCGCGTAGGATGGTGCCTGACCCACAGCAGTTATAAATAGGTGGCATTATCACTTCTCTCCCACCTCTCAGCCTCCTCCCTGGCTGGCCTTCCAGATCTTGGGCCCCTTCACGACCCAGCCCAGGGCACACTCCCTGTGAACAGTGCTGGCGAGGCCGCCCTGCCCACCGGCTGTGGCTGACGGAAGTGTCCTGTCCCCCTGCACCCTTGCTCCCTCCTCCAGCGTTTCTGGGGCACCAACCCCATGCCAGTGGAGCCGGGTCAGAGGGGAAATGGGCCCCTCGGGGCTTGGTCTGCCGCAGTGGGAGCGGGCGCTGGTGTACCCGGGACTGGGCGCTCGCCAGGGCCACGCGGGCCTGCTGCTCCCCCTGCTGAATCATCTCGATCCTGTTCTGCATCTCCTCCTGCAGCTGCTTGTGTCTCTGCAGGTGGTTCTGGCTCTGGTTCAGCTGGGCCTGCAGCTGGCTGACCTTAGCCTTGAACTCCAAGGTGGTGCACTCCTGCCTGGCGAGCTCTCTCTCCAGCTCCAACACTCGCTGGGAGCAGTGGGGGAGAACAGAGCGCTGGACCCTCCGCCCTGACCGCCCGCGCCTCCACCCTCCTTCCCCAACAGCAGGCATTCCCCCCACCGGCTCTTCCCGTCACATCTGGACCCAGCAGTGGCTAGGGGCCTCTGTGCGCACATGTGCCCTCCTGAGATGGCTGGAAAGGGGTGCTGTCTAAATAAGCAGCCCCCACCGGCTGAGAAGAGGCCGGCCATTCAGCCACCCAGCAGTCACCTGCCGGAGCAGAAGGTTGTCCTTCTCGATGGTCCCCAGCAGCTCCTCGTGCTTCTTGTCCTCCCGGATGTTGGAGAACTGCAAGACAGGCGGGGTCGGTCAGGGGGCTCCAGGCAGGAGAGCAGATGGCACCCTCGCGCCTGACTGCCCCCGCCCCCGAACCTCGGTAGCCGGGTTTGTGCTGGGGAGAGGGGGAGTGGCGGCGATCACCAGGACCCCTGGGGAAGCAAGAGGCGGAGCCAGGGGGCCGGTGGGGAAGGTTGAGAACACGCCGAGTTCACATGTCAGCGTCCCTAACGCCTCAGAAACTGGTGTTGCGGTTCTTCTGGACGTGGGAGCGACAAGAAGAGGGTCACCTGAATGTGCTTCTGGAGACCAAGAGCCGCCAGACCCTTCCCAGCCCTGAGCTGCCAGTGGCTGACCAGCTTTCCGCCTGGCAGGAGGCTGGACGTCGGGCTCTGGCGTGGGAGGTGCCAGGCACCACCAAGTGTGGAGACCCCAGCCTCCTTCCCACTTGTCTCCTGGAACCCCGGCAGCCAGGCCTGCACCTGCTCTCTGAGACTCCAAGGGCACCCGGCCGCACCAAGAGGAAAGGCCCAGCGAGTCCACCTTTGACCTCGCGGTGGTGGGGCCTGGGTGCGTCCTCTGCCATGAAGCGACACTGTCACCCACTGCTCGGATAAGAAGTGGGCTGGCTCTTCCGTGGGAGCCGGTGTCCTGGAAGCAGGGTCCCAGCATGAATGGCAGACCCCAACGAGCCTCCAGAAGGAACTTGTGGGAAACAGAAATGGCACAGGAAGTTAAAAACAACCACTCTCATTCATGCTCTTGTGGAGGTAGGAAAAGGTGCAGTCGTGAATCAAAGAAAGAAAAAGAACATTCTGAGAGCAAAAGAGACCTTGGAATCGCAACAGAATTAAAGCTGACGAGGGTGGCCGCTGGTGAGGTTAAGGGGATGCGGGAGGGGGACAGGAACACAAGGCGATGGAAAGTGGGAGGCTTCACAGAGGACGAGAAGAGGACCCGGCGGCAGGCCCGGCGGCTGCGGGACTGGGGCTCTGGAAGGAGAGTGTTCAGACGACAGAGGCGGGAAGAGAGATGCCTGGGTCAGAGGACCCATTTCCCATTAGCTGCCAAGAGCCAGGGCGATGAAGACAGACCCTCAATAAGACAAAACACTGAAGTTTCAGAACACCTGGAACAAAAATAGGGTCTTAACAGCTTTCCAGAGAGGACCCAGCAGCCACCAAGACAGTGTTCAGGGTGGCTCTGCACTTCCCACCGGCAGCAGAATGGTCCTGGGGGACAGATTTCCCGGCAGTGGGAAAGCAGGCCGGGGGCAGCTTGGGCTCCCTGAGGGCAGCGGCTCCCTCGGTGGGATGGGGGATGGCACCCAGCCCTGGCTGCTGGGAGGGTGCAAGGGCGCGGCCACCTTTTCCGACATGGCCTGTAGCTGCTGCTTCCGCTCTCGAAGCTCCTTCTGCAGCATCTCATTCTCCATGTTGACCTTCTGCAGTTGGGATTCCTGGAAGTCCACTTGCCGCTGTAAGGACGTGATGGCTCCTGCGGGGGCAGCGGGCAAGGACCTCATGAGAGCAACGGGTGACGAGGCCAGGGCGCGACCCCTGAGGCTGCGGCTGAGACCCCGGCGCCCTCCCTCACGGAGCTGCCAGCTGGGGAAGCCTGGCCTTGGCACCCACCTGTTGCCAGCGAGTATCTGGTCCGGGTGCTGTCCAGCTCGAACTGGAACTCCCGGATCACCTGCTCGCACTCCTCCAGCTGGGCCATCAGCTCCTCCTCAAACACCTCGTCCAGGGAGCACGTCCTTCTCCTGCCCGAGTCCTCGAGTTCCACCACCTCCTTCTCCTCCTCCAGCTCCACCACCTCCTGCCGCTGCTCCTCGAGCTCGGCCTCCTCCTGGCCCGCTGCGCCCTGAGTGCCCTCGTCCTCTGCCCTCTGGGCCTCTCCTTGCAGGCCCTCCTCTGCCTCGCCGCTGCCTCCAGCCACATCCTTGCCTCTGTCGGTCATGGCGTACTCCTCCTGCACCTGGGACGGCATGCTGGCAGGGCGGGGGCTCTGACACTCGTGGTGGGGCTGGGAGGAGGCAGGAAGCATGCTGGGCACAGCACCACCACACCCACCCAGACCCCATCAGTGCAGCTGAGCCTCTGCAAGGGCAGGGCCACCGGATTAGGGCTGCAGGTGGGGCACAGAAGAGGTTGGGCAGCGCCCTTTGAGAGGCAGAGGGTGCCCCACACCCGCTCCCAGCGCTGCGGCTCATCGCGGTCTAAGGTTTTCAGGATGCTCAGCCTCCCCGGCAGCAGCTTAGACATGGGCTCAGAGGGCCGTTCCTGTAAGGGGCCTGCATGAGCCTCAGGGTTTCAGACGTGCTGCCAGACCTGCCCTCCTGCCAGGGGTACAGTGACCCAAAGATAGCAGCCCAGGGGACAGTGTGGTTTCTGGCACCCCCAGAGCAGCCTGGCAAGTGGCCTTGCAGTGGGGAGCCTGCTCACTTGGAAGAGTGGAAGGCCAGCCTCACACATGCCCAGAGCCCGTCACTGCCGCCCTGCCATTCACGCCTGCCAGCCTTTGAGAGGCCAGGGGACGGGAACCCAGGCTTCCAGGCCTCTCCAGACTCCCTGTGCCGCCGCCCACCGGCCCCCACTGGCCATGTCTGGGCAGCTGTCTCTGGAGGTGTCAGGGGAAATACCCGATCACCACTTCCTAGGGCCAGGTAGAGCTGCCCCAGGCCCTACCTGGACCTGCATGTCTCGGGGAGGGGCAGCAGTCCCCTCCCCACTTTCCAGGCAGGGACGCTGCACACCTGCAGCCTGAACAGGCCGGGCTGATCCAAGCCAGCACTGCCGCTAGACGGGGTCGGGGACCCCACCTGCAGGGGCCTGCCCTCCTCCAGGATTGAAGAGGTCCCGGCCCTCATCCTGCAGGTAAGGAAACGGAGAACAGTCCTGCCCCAAGGGGGTGAGCAAGTTGGCAGCAAAGTGCAGGGACCTGGAGGTCCAGCTCATGGCTCCTTTCCTGTACCCTGCTCCTGTCCACTCTCCTCTGGACTCTGCCCGTTGTCAGAACCCTGAGACCCAGTCCAAGCTCCCGAGAGGACCTGGCAACCTTCGTCCATGACCAGGCTGGCAGGGGATTTGACAGGGGCCTGAGGGTCACCAGGGGCCCTGGAAGCCCGGTCTGTGGCCCACACTCTGTGCTCACCCTCGTGCCCCGGCACACTGATGACTCTTGGTCTTCGCTTTTCAGGAGGTGTTTCAGCTGCTTCTTCAAGACCCCCCTCTCCCCCTGGAGTGCCAAGATCTCCTCATCTTTCTTCTGCACCTGCAGCTGCAGCTCAGAGAGGCGCTGCACTTCCTCCCCCAGCATGAGCAGACAGTGATCCTGGGCAGAAGACGGGGGCAGGCCCCATGTGCCATAGGGCCACACAGACCCTCCCCACTCCAGCTACCCCCATTTCTGCAAAACAGCAGCTCCATGGAATTCCAAACCCCAGACGCAGGCTTCCTTGCTACGACCACACCCTGCCTCAGGGCAAGTCCGAAATGGTGCCAGGGAGCTTCCTGGCAGCCTCCTCGTCAGGCTTGGTTGGCCCCAGGTTGGTCCCTGGTGGCTGGGGACACAAGTCTTCTGTGTGGCCCCACACCTAACCAGCAGCACCCAGAGCCACCCCGAGGGGCCTGTCAGGGAACCCTCTGCCCCTCAACCTTCCCTTCTCAGAATCTCACCACCTTCAGCTCTTCACAGTGAGAGACACAGTTAAGACGTTTTCAGAAACCATAATAAGTGCCACCAGCAGATCCGAACTTAGAGAAAGACTAAAGGGCATTCTTCAGGCAGGAGGGTGGTGTTCCAGACAATTCCAGGGAGAAACAATAACTAGAGAGGAAGTGTCTGGAAATAGAGGGCTGGACTTCCGCAGAGCCTGGGGGTTGAAGGACTCCAAAAGGAAGTTAGAAAATACTTGAAACTGAACAATAATAAACATTTGGACATCTCAAATCTTGTGGAGTGAAGCTAAAGCTGTGATTAAGAACAAATTCATAGCCTCAAAATGCATTGATGACTCTAAGCATCAATGTCAAGAACTCAGAAAAAGAGCATGGAGTGCAGAGCAGATATGGCGACATTCTAACATCCGGGAGACTGAAGGACAGGTGGAAATTATTCACAGTGAGTTAAGATAATCATGCAGAAATCACATCTCTTCACCCTGGATCTACATGTGCACGTATCCCAAGCCAGGCAGTGGTTACTGGGAAAGGGGCTCCTTTCCATGGGCCGCTGAGCTGGCACAACACCAGCTTGCTGCCTCGGGTGGCTCTCTTGCCTCCAGAGGAGAGGGGTGACCTCCAGAGCCCAGATGAAGGCAGAGGTGGGAGAGAGAGATCCCTACAGATACAGTTTGAGCTCCTGGAGGCAGCCAAGCCTGCAGTCCTTCCCCCGGCCTGTTCACATACAGAGCTGATAATTCCCCTCCCTGCTATTTGGATTAACAAGAGCCCTGCAGAGAACATCCTTTTACGTGTATCTACATGACTCTATTTAATTACACCCTCAGGTTGTTTCCCAAAATCCGTCAAAGGGCATCAACACTTCTAAAGTTGTGAAATCTGTCATAAAATGGAGAGGCAGGAGTTTCAGGAATAAAGGTAAAGTGAGCACTCACAGACCCACTCTCAGGACTCCTCAAGTCTCCGTAGTGGACCCACCAACCACCCAACATTTTGTGTCCCTCATTTTCATGATTGTCATTAAAGCTTCACCAGCTTAAAAATCAAAACAACCAGAAGCTGATTCTAAGTCTTAATATTGATGAACTTGTAGCAAAACGGATGGAAAGAGAAAGAAGGCACAGGCCAGCCAGGTCAGGAGGGGAAAGAGGCTCTCTCCTGCAGGGTCTCCTGGGATATCAGGGCGCTGAGAAGGGACTTTATGCACTGGGTCAGGCTGATAAATTTGAGAATTTACATGAAATGGACACAAGCCTAAGAAAACATAGCTTACCAAAGCGGAAACAGGAGGGAGAAGAAAATCTGAATGCCTTAAAGCGGGGTGGGGCGGGGCGGGGGCCGGGACAAGCATCATGAGTGACTTTTCTTGCTTATGAAAAGTGCCAAGATATAAACAGTATAGTAAGAACAGGAGGGACTCCATCCTAAGGCTAAGTTTCTATTTTAAAAAGCTGGGAATTAGGAGGTTGAGATTCCTAACATACTCTTTGGTAATCCGCCAACAACCCATTTTAAGGCGGATCAAGCAGATTAGGGCATTATCAACAAAGGGCTGATAAGCTCCCGGTGCGTGAGGGTAACCGCTATCTTGGAGAAGAACAGGATCCGTAAATTCCTTGTGTAAAATCAGGTTTATCTTACAGAATGTCTAGAGGACGGACTGTGGGTGGTCACGTGATGTCTCTCACCAAGCGGCATCAGGAGACCACATATCAAGCCTATGCTCCCCCACTGCCACCCACAGCCCTTTGGCCTCTGAGTGCACCTCCTCTCTGAGAGCGCCCCCTTTCTTCAAGTGTATACTTTTAGCTTTAAGTAAACACTTTTCTCAACTGGATTGCACTTTGTCTCTGCGCTCTTCCAGCAGTGAGCGTCTTTGTCACTTCGCTATTTCATTCGCTTTTCCAGACTTAGGCACAAGTCTCCACTCTCTCTGACCTACTTCAGACCAGTAGCGAAGGGCTGCCGAGAGCTCTGCTTTGGGCTCAAAGCTCCTGCCTCCTGGCGACCCCGATGAGATGGCAGCTGTACGATCACGCTCTCGACTAGTCTGCCTGAAAATCTCCTTTTTTGCCTTGAGGAAGTTCTTAAAACATAACTTCCCCCCACCCAGTGCTCTGCGGCTCCCCCAAGTCCTGGGGTGGTGGGGGCTCAGTGCCCACACTGTGCACATTCAAGTGGACACTGGACACCAGGTGGCCCTGGCTTCAGGAGCTGGCAAAGGCTCTGCCCTAAGCTGAGCAGTTCGGTGGGCTTCCCTAAAGCCTCCCTGTGCCCTTCCCTGCAAGGCAGCTGCCATTTGCCGCTACTCTCGTTTTAAGGAACTCCTTCCTCTCCTATACTCACCCCGCCTGCTCCAGAATTCTCTCTCGTGGAGAGTCAAGAACCCTCCCCCATCCAGGTTGACGTTTCACCTGGGCACAGGGAGAGGCCTCCCCAGGGGCAGCTGCCCGGCAACAAAAGGAATTGAATTTGTTCTTTGAAAACCACCCCCTGTTAAGAAATCCCCAGGCACCCATGCCCTGCTCAGATGATGAATTCTTCAGAAGTTAACGAGATAACATCTATCTGATGCAAATTTTCCAGAGACTAGAAAAATAAGAAAAGGAAATGCTTTCTAACTATTTTTGCTGTTGTTATGAGGCCAGAATAACTCTGACGCCAAATGCAAACAAAGGAATTATAAGATAGGGAAAATGACGGGCCAGTTTCCCTCACGAACATCCATGAAAGGAAATAACACCAAGAGGAATCAACTTGTAGGTAGATCTTTGCATATCACGTTGATTATTGCTATTTTTTAGAACACTTTCTCCCAGGTGCAATTACTGGCTCAAAAGGGGTATGGATGAAGTTTGTGATACATGTGCCGAGGTCCATACCCGCTGAAACTGCCCCCCGCGGGGGTGAAGATGAATGGGGCCAGAGAAGCCAAAGAAAGAGGCCTGGAGGTCCCTTCCCACATCTGGGAACCTGCTTGGCAGCTAGCTGGGTACCAGAACAAGGGCTGCGGGGCGGCGGGGCTGGAGCTGGGGCACTGGGGCCAGGATCTGTGCCCAGGGCTCCGGGCATGGTACCTTCTCATGGATGACGGATATGTACCAGGGCACCCGCCCCCTCAGGACCGGGCTCAGCGTCTGGGATTCACTCCTCTTCTGCAAGTAGTTGAACTCACAGGCACTCTTACTGAAGGGAAGGAGACGCCCTGTAAGAGCGGGGGCATCGGACGTCCTGTGCTGTATGACCCTGATGTCTGCTATGACAGCATCCCCCTTCCCAGACTCCCCTCAGGAACCACTCACTGACCTGTGGCCTCCTTCGTCCCCTGGCCCTTGCTACCAGCATCCAGCCTCACGCCCCTGCCCAGTGTGGGTGCTGAAGGAATAGAGGGAAGCATCGAAGCACCTTGGAGACTCCCAGAGCCTGGGAGTCAGGACAACAGAGTCACCCTATGCTGCCCTGTGCACCAGGTGGCCCTGGACACTTGGGGATTTCCTCAGATTCAGGCAAAGGAGACAATCAGGTGTGGAATTCACCTTTGGCCAAATGAAAGCAAGTATACTTGCCTGCAGGCACAGAGTGAACAGGTCTCTCTACTCAAGGAGGGATACATCCCTGGGGCCCTGTGCAAGGGACATAGGGCCAGGCTGGCAGTCCCAGGAAGGCAGCTCTGTGGGGCACATTTGGGTAGCCCTGGGGCAGCAGGAGCCCTGCAGGTACGGGCCGAGGCCCTCAGGGCTGGGGTGCCCAGGAGATGGCCCAAGGGGCGCTCCCCCAGTGCCCTGCAGGCCCCTCGCTCACCGTTGTCCTGGGTGTCCAAGCCCTGCGGGTTGGAAAGCAGGTCCCGGGTCACCTTCCAGCTCTCCACACCCACGCACAACTCCTCCTGCAAAGGGACGGTCCCGGCTGCCCCTGCAGGATGTTAAAGGTGCCAGCTGATGACAGCAGCCACATCCTCCCTGGACCTCTGGGCGGGGCCGCGCCTTCAGTTCTCTTCAAATGTTGTTAGTAGAATTAAAGGTGATTTTTCTCAGTGGGTGCATGGGACTGAGCCATGGCCCCACCAATGGTGAACCCGCCTGAAACAGACCCGGGCAGCGTCATCTCTATGAATCCGTACGTCCCCCTGGAGGGTGCCTGCACTCCCTCCTGAGCACATGGCCAAAGTCTCACAGAAGCCTCTCCACGAGGGCAGACCCGTTCCCACTAAACCATCACGAGGCGGAGGCACACACCCATGGGGGGCGTGTAGGCAGGATCCCTGCACCCAGGATGCTGTGCGGCGCCCCCCGCCCTGCCCAGAGACCTGCCGGCGACCTTCATGGTCCTGCAGCGTCAGCCGCTGCCCCAGGCCCCGGGCCTGTGAAGGGGAGCTTGGAGCCGAGACAGGTGGATGGGGTCTCTGCTTTTGCCTGGCTGCCGGCTGACATCCAGGAGCTGGCATGCATCATTAGCCAGGGGCACTGAGCCTCCATTTCACTGTCCAGAAGGAATCACGTGAGGGCAGATGCGACCGGCCCAGGGCTGGGGCTGGGAGGTCCAGGTGGACAGGATGCCTGGCTTGACTGATTCTCCCCCAGTCACCGCTGAGCCCCTTAGCTGCCCTCTCTGGGCCTCATATTCTGTATACGAACAACATGGGGTCAGTCAAGGGCATCGTTAGGGCTCCTTCCAGGGGCGGGCTCCTAGTGCGTACCTTCGGCCTCTGGACCTCTTTTCCGAAGCTTCCAGAATTCCCACTCTTCTTCCTCTCCCCCGCCCCAACGCTACTGTGTCTTTGGGGCGCGTGGCAGTGGACGATGGAGGGTGCCTAGCCTCACCCCTTTCCTCTGCCCTCCCACCTCAGCTGCGCGCATCCCAGCCCCATCCCGCGTGCTCAGTGCGCTTCGGCAGCCGTCGGCCACCCTGGCGGACGTGTGAGGGGCGGTTTCCCCCCGGGGGCCCTCACCGCAGTGAGACATGGACGTGGCCCTGGTGCTGAACTGGGGGCAGCCAGGACGCAGGAGGAACGCTCTGCGCAGCCCCTCCGCTTCGGACACAAAGCTGGTGTCCCTGGGGCGGCTGCATTGCTTGAAGTGGTTCTGGTCGGGTGGGAAAGACACGGCAGCGGCTGAAGAAGCGGCGCTGGGCCCCGCTGTCCCGTGGGCGGGCCACCTCCTGGCGGCGGTCGGCCCCTCTGCCGGCCAGCGCGCACGTGGTGAGAGCCTCCCCGGCCCCCGCGTACCACCCTCTTGTAGTGGCGGCTGACGGCCTGGGCCGACTTGCTCAGGGAGCGCTGTTTGCTGTGCACTTTCCGCTCAGGGGGCCGCTCGTGCCGGCCGGCCATGCTCTGGAGGGCCATCAGGCCCCTGCCCATCTGGGTGGGCGCCAGACTGTGCTTCTCAGGCACACAGGCTCCCCTAGGCAACATCAGGACCGGGACGGGGTGGGGGGCAGAGGGCAAGGTCCACTGCCTGAATGGTGCTGTTCTCAACAGCCTCTTGGTTATGAGCAGGGGAAACACGGCCTCAAGCGTGGACCTGCCGCCTGGCACAGGCCAGGAGAAGTCCAGCCTCCAAGGTCCACGCTCCGTGGGATCCTGGGAGCAGTGTGCGCATCACAGATGTCTCCATAGAAACGGGGTGTGCCAGTAGTCTCAATTTTCTGCGACTCATCTTGACTTTCTGCTGGGGAGGGGATCCAGATGCTGCTCTGCCCCATCTCAGGATCTCACAAGCCGGGAGCAGAGGCCCGAGGCATTAGCAGCCCATTCTCCTGTTTTATTTTCCTATCCCCAGTATTTCACCTTCTCTTATTTAAAAACTGACACTGCGTCTACTTAAAAACTGACTACTAATATGTCTATTAGTAGACGTATACATATTTATTTGTCATGTCTTCCTCATGAGCCAACTCTTTTCTCTTTAGGAAAGGTCTCTGTCTTTTATAATATTTTTGGCCTTGAAGTCTATTTGATCTGATATTGACATAGCCACTCTTATATTCTTATGCTTACCATTTTAAGGTATATCATTCCCATCCATTCGTTTTCAACCTATTTGTGTCTTTATATTTAGAGTGTGTCTCTTAGAAACAGCATGGTTGTTTTAATTGGACTGTTCATTCCATTATTATTTAGTATATTATATCTTAGAGGTTGTTTCAGGTTTCACAATATACATCCTTAACTTCTCAGTCTAGTAGAGTTAATATTGCACCACTTTAGGTAAAATTTAGAAATCTTGCAACTCACTGGCTTGCTAACACCCACTCACCGTATTTTGTGCTTTAGCTTGTCAAAAGTATTGCATCTACCCAGTTTATGTCTCAAAAGACAATGTTATAAATTTTTCTTTTAACAGTATTTCACAGAAATCAGGAGGAGAAATAGCCATTTGGATTTCCACATGTATTTCCCCCTTCAGCCCGGAAAACTTTATTGAGCATTTTTTGCAGTGCACATCTGTCAGCAGCAAATTCTCTTAGTTTTTCTTCACCTAGACAGGTGTTTATTTTGCCTTCCTTCTTGAAGGGTATTTTTGTGAGTTCAGAAGTATTGGTTGACAACTTTGTTTTCCTTTTAGCACCATAAAGATGTCGCCCTGCCTCTGGCCTCTACAACTCCTGATGAGAACTCTGCACTCATTCAGGTGGTGGTTCCCTGGGATATAATACTTAGTTTTTCTTGTGTGGGTTTCAAGATTTTTTTAATCTTTATTTTTGGTTTTCAGCAGTTTGACTCTGATATACCTTGGCATGACTTTCTTTGTATTGATCCTATTTGGGTTTTGTGAATTTCTTAAATCTACAAATGTATGTCCCCCACCAAATGGAGAAGTTTTCAGCCATTATTCCTTCAAATAATTTTTCAGCCCCATTCTCTCTTCTGCTTGGACCCTCCAGTTCCCCATACGTCACCCTTTCCAATATTGCCCCACAATCCCTGAGGTTCTGTTTCCTTTTTAAAAATCATCTTCTCTTCTTCAGATTAGAGAATTCCTATTGATCTTTCTCCAAGTTCATGGCTTCTTTCCTCTGTCCTTTTTATTCTGCTTTTAAATTCATCCCAGTGATTTAAATGTTTTTAGATATATTTTTCGGTTTTAAAGTTTCCTTTTGACTCTTTTTTATATTTGCTATTTATCAGCTGAGACTACCAATTGTCTCACTCATTATGAGAGTATTTGTTAACTAAGCATAGTTACAATAGCTGCTTTCTGCCACTGTCTGACAGTTCTAATACTAAGGTCATCTCAAGGTTGGCCTCCGTGGATTGTCTTTTCCCTTCAGAACCAGTCACATTTTCCTGACAGTAATTTTAGATTGTGTCTAAATTTTTTTTTTCATTTTTCTATTTTTTGTTTTCTCTCTCTCTGTTTATTCTTGTTTTAGATTGTGTCTACATTTTAGATTGGTACATTAGGAATGTTACATTGTGGAGACTCTCAGTTCTGCTATATTCCCCTCAAGAGTGCTGATGGTTTCACGTGAGCAGACAGTGCATGTGGCTAAACCAAAACTGCACTTCTGTCCTGCCTGCAGCGGGCAGCAGCTCACATCTCAGGGCAGAGGGCTCATGTCTGGGGGAGGTGGCAGGAGGGTCCCTCACGTAGGAGCTCCCTCCTCTTTTCGGAAACAGAGCAACTTGGGTCCATGTGGGAAACCTTTCCAGGGCAGTCTCATAGATGGATCTTCTACAAATCCACTGAAGACTGGGAACGGTGCCCAGTGGCAGGAGGGGCTGGTGGGAAGGTGCCCTCCTAGGGGCCAGCACAGATGGGTCCTGCAGAGGCAGGTGTTAGAACTGAATGTCTGTGTCCTCCTAAAATTCCTGCGTTGAAGCCCTGACCTCAGTGTGATGGTATTTGGAGGTGGGGCCTTTGGTAGGTGATTAGGTTTAGCTGAGGTCATGAGGGTGGGGCACTGTGTCTGGATTAATGCCCTTACAAGGGCAGGAAGACAGCTTTCTCTCTCTCCTGTGTTACACACTGAAGAAAGGCCGCAGGGGCACACAGTGAGAAGGTGGCAATCTATGAGCCAGGAGGCAGGATCCTCCCAGAAGCCAACCACACCAGCAGCCTGACCTGGGACCTCCAGGCTGCACACAGCTGTGAGAATAAACGTCTGTGGTCTAAGCCGCCCGTCTGTGGTATTTTGTTATGACAGCCCCAGGTGACTAAGACAAAGATCCCAGAGCACAGGAAAGTCACCAGAGCGGCTGCAGCTGCTGAGATTGGTTAGCCAAGGGCTCCCAGCAGGTGGGAGATCCCCTTGGTGTGACAGGGGGCACCCCCACTTGAGCCTAAGCAAAACACAGATAAGCATATTGAACAAGCAAAAACAGGAAGGGCTATTCGGCTTTGAAGGAAGGAGTTTTTGTTCACTTGTTCAACATTCGCTGCTGATCAAATGGTTCCTGAGCAAACACTGCATTAGGCTGAGAATCAGCCCTAAAAGAATCCGCTGCCCTCCTGTCCTCTCAGCAGAAATGGTCCACTGGGCACAGTTTGGGGGAACAAGCTGGGCTTTGTCCAAATGCCTCTCCCCAAAACCCTGCAGAAGAAAGTGCCTCTCAAGGGAATGAGCTGCATCAAAACCTCCTCTGTGTTTGGTGACCAAGTCTGAATGGAGACAGATTTTTAATGTAGAGTCTAAGGATATAGAGCCTGCTGCCTTCATAAATTTGGAAACATCAGATCATCTGCAAGAAATTTCTTTTCCTGGGAAATAAAATCCCATGGGAAGAATTTTCTAAAAGCTGAAAGCTAAGAAATACCTTGGAGCATAATCCTGAGAGAGGGAGCCATCTGCAGAAGGTGACTTGTGTCTGCTCTTCAGCTGAACACAGGTGTCTGTCAGGCTTGGCGAGGCATGGCAGTGGCTGGACTCACCTCACCATCATGTGACATCGTTGTCAAAACAGGTCAAGCTCACCTCTGAAGAAGAGTCAGTGTGGGACAGACATACCGAGCATGTCTGAGCCCCCGCGCAAGGACTCTTCTAGCATTTCAGTTACTAAGATTGATACTAAAACTAATGAAGAATTTACTTTTTCTTCACACCGGTGACTCCTAGGTGAATTTTTTATTGTGCTTTATATACACGAACTCATTTATTTCTCAATGCAACCAGGTGACATAGGTACTATCATGACCCCAAGTTACAGTGAAGACACCATAGCAGAGAGGTTAGTGACTTGCCCGACGTCACCCAGCTAGAGAGGGGTAGACCTGGGGCTGACATCCTGGTAACCTAATTTCAGTTTAACCAGATACTCGTGTATTAAAACACAAGTAGGTTTATGATTTGGTTAACAGAAACCCAAAATGACAGTTCAATCAGTAGAGGAGCCGGTATCAAACACAAACCTTATCTTGAGGCAGCCGCTTAACCATGTAAGTCAGTCAAATGTTCTGGTCTTGTCATGTCGTTAGAAAAACACTAGATGTCCCCAAATTTGGAGGATATTTTTGGAGTTGGCTTAAACACAGGCTGGGTGGCACCAGAAAATGTGTCTGGGAAGCGGGAAGAACCTGGAAGTCAGGTCGGGTTGGCTGTGGGGATCCGCGCCCCGCATTTCCCCGCAACGCGCTGAAAGGCTAGGGCGAGGCAAGGGTGCCCACACCTGCTGCAGGTGCGCCAGAGGACACCCGCGTCTGTTGGCCCGCACCCAGGTCCAGGGCCGTCTTGCCTCGGGGCTCCACACCTCGCACAGGTGTCCCGTGTCCTTGTACGGGCGTAAGAGTGACCTGGGGGTTTCACGGATCTCATTAATAAAACGAGAATGGAAATTCCGGTGGCCAAAAAGTCTATGATTTGGGGTTATTACTTTTTTAATTGCAAAATCGATTTTTGAAAAAACAGAAGGTGAGTGTAAAAAGCCCTCTCGTCGACCAGAGAAATCATGTGTTGGTAGAGACCACGCGGAATAAAGGCGCAGAGAAAGCGCGCACAGGTGGGGACGGCCGGGCGCTGGAGACAGGTGCGCGCAGAGCGCTGCCGGATCGACTCCGCGCCCCGCCCCGTTTCTGGGGCCCCGCCCACCAAGGCCCCGCCCCGTCGCAGGCCCCGCCTCGCCCCAGGGCCTGGTTACCCCCTGCGCCCGCGCTTCCGGTTCCGGGTCCTTGCAGGGTCGCGGGGCTTTTAAACCGCGGCTGGGAGGGCGGCGGAGCTCGAAGCCGGCTCCTCCGGCAGCGGGCGGGGCGGGGTCGCTTTCGTCCCCCGTAGCCCGGAGACCTGGCCCGTCAGCTCGACGCGCACGCCGCTGGCCGGCGAATTTCCGCAGGGGACCCGCCGCCCCGACCGCTGGGCCGGGGAAGGAAGCCTGCGGGCCTGCGGCCGAACGTGCTGGCCGGGCGGGGGCGCTCCCTGCGGGCGCGGAGGCCGTCCTGGCGCACCTGCCCGCGCTCGGGCCCCTCGGCGCCGCCCGGTTCTCAGGAAGTGCGGCCCTCCCGACGGACACACCGCTGCCCGACCGGGTGCTCGTTGGAAGCCGCGCCCGGGAACTCCGCAGGCCTCCCAGGCTCCGCCGGCCCAGGACGCCTTCTGCCTGGACAGGCCGCCCGAGCATCCGTTAGTTTCGCACACCAGCCGGTTAACTCGAGGAGTAAATCCTGTGACGTCGCAGTTGTGCCCTTCGCCTGCCCCTGTCCGTTCTGTGACATGGCCACCGGCTCCTTGGGCGGCCCCGTGTCACGTGGGAGAGCCCCGGAGGGAGCAGTTCCCCCGTGAGCGTCTATGAGACGCGTCGGGGACCGGGACACTGCGTCTCGCCAATTTTGTGTGGCCGATTTGTCTGCTGTCTCCCCCGCCATGCCCTCGATCTCCACTCATTCCATGGGGCAGCCCCGCGGCGCCCGCACAGTGGTGTCCTGTGCCCTCGCTGGCCACCCCTCTCTGCTCCTGGGCCCACGCTGCTGCCAGCTCCTCTACCCCAGTGCTGCGTCTGCCCGAGAGGACCGAGCCGTTTACCGCCGCCAGCCACCTCTCAGCGTTTCCTGCTCTCCAAATGAGGCCATCCTCTCTAAGCAGACTGGCCCCACTTCTCTCAGAAGCCCGCGGTGCCAAGGCGTGCAGAGGTGGGACCATGCTGCCGGGGCGGAGCATCTGCAGCCTGGCTGGCTTTGGAGGTGCATGCTGGCGAAGCGCCGTCTCAGCATTTAAGGGAGAAGAGCTGCTTCGAGCTTTATGTTGCTGAGGATCAGCGTGTGACTGGAGTGAGCCCTCAGCCGAGTGTGTGGCCAACACGCAGACGGTGGGAGAACAGGGCAGGTAATGTCCTCTGCTAGCAGCACACGGTTTCTGTCTGCAGGTGTTCACTTACCACCTACCATGGGTGGGCGCCGCCCCCCTGACCGGAGACACAGCTCAAATGCAGCAAAGTGCCCTCTCTCGGTGCCGGATTTGGCGGAGGGCAGTACACACACCCCAGTGCAGTCAGTGGTGCTAAGTTCCAGAGAAGTCTGGCCGGGTGGACAGGTGTTGTTTGGATGAGATGGTGGGGAAGCCCCTGGGTTGGGGGATGTCTGGGCAGGGGCCTGTGTGCGTGCTAGCTGCGCAGGTTGTCTGGCAGGGAAGCGTTCTGGATGGAGAGGACACTGAATCCTCCTGGCTTGTTCACGGAATAGCACGGGGCAGGGCTGGCAGGAGTGCTGTGAGCCTGGGGTGAGGGTGGACAGCAGGGTTAGAGCGGTGGCCAGCATCCTGGGCATGGAGCCCGGCGGGCCTGGGGCGTGAGCCGAAGGCTGGCACATCTGACTCACGTTCTGAGGACATTGTCCCTGCTGGTCCTTTCATTGCTAAGAGACCACACCTCAGGGGGCCAAGGGTGGGAGCGTCACGCTGGTTCAGGCCCGGACCAGACTGGCAGCACGGTTGGCTGTGGCGGGTTCTGAACATAGCGCCTTCGAGGCCTGCTGAGTTCCTTGGTGCTGTCTTCCAGCGTGCATGGCCAGGTGGGACACACATACACCGGGGCTGGGCCCGCAGTGTCTCCAGCAGCTGAGCATTCTAGACTCACTGCCCTGCTGCTCGCATGATCGCAGGGGAGGGCTCGGAGCGCCCTGTGTGCCAGTGCCCCCAGGAGCAGGCCTGGCTGACAGGGTTTGCTCCTGTGCCTACAGTTGCCACCCCACCGCAAGTCTCTCTCCCAAATTCTAATTACCTTCAAGTACATTTTTGATAACATTAGGAGGACAGCGTAAGCCTGCCTTGTTAATGCACACGCAGTGTGTGCAAGTGTCCGGCTGACGAGGTCTCATGTTTCTCAGTGAAGCATGGTCATGAATATTTGAAATTTGTATGTTTTTGGAAAGCTGGCAGATTTTAGTTGTAAGTTACATCATCATCTTGCTTGTGTCTCCATTCTTAAGAAAGTTTTCACTCTTTTACTTGAAGCATGACATGCAGAGGACACACACGCATACACAGCACACACAGGAAACTGCCCGAGCTCAGTGCATTCTGCGAACTGAGCAGACCTGTGTGGCCGGCCCCCAGAATGTTCTTGGTCCCCAGAAGCCCCGCACCCCCACCCCCACCCCCAGGACCCCCTGCAGTCCAGGCCCAAGGGTAGCCACTCTCAGCTGAGGAAGGAGCGCAAATGATGGCTTATTCTGAAAACCTTAATAGTGCTTGATTGGTGGAATCCTGTGATGCTCTGGCCTGGAGTGGGTCCCCCGGTGTTCAGGGTGTTCATAAGTAAAAGGCAAATTCAGAAACGGATCATGCACCCTGGACGTGGTTTTGCAGGTTGCTTGGTCAGGGCTTTTCTTCTTCAGTGACTGTGCCTGAGAAAGAGACAGAGTGGCGTGTAGACTGACGTTGACAGCATCAGTTCTGGAGCTTTCTAGCTCTCAAATTGGAATACTCTTCTAATATTCCATTTAATTCCCGCAGGGTCTCTGGACTTGTCTGGGTTCCCCACCAGAGGCACTTCTGAAGTAGTGGCGGACACTCTCCAAGCAGGTAAGGGCTGGACGTCATTCTGTGCACTTTCACGTTCATATACGTAGTTTCCAGTGGGCAGTACCTGGTGGCTGAGGTGGATGGGGTGGTGTCAGTGGCGTTTACTGAAAAATCTGGGAGAGCATCAGATATCTAGTTAGCATTTCCCAAAGTCTGTGTGCTCTAAAACAGTGGTTCCCTGGGATATTAATTGACATACTGGGGATGGGAGAGGTTTTTTAATTCAGTGTATTTGGGGAAAAAGACAATTAAGGAGACAAGATTATTTGCATAGCTTTTCCATCTTTATATACGGTAGTGTTACTTAAAACCTAGCATTTCCCAATCATTTTGGTGTTACAGTTTTGTTATAATTGTGGTTAAATACACATAATATAAAATTTACCATCCTAGCCATTTTAGTGTACAGTTAAGGAGCATTAAATACATTCACACTATTGTGCATCTGTCCCCAGAACTTTTCACCTGTACTCGGGGAAACAACCCCCATTCCCCTCTCCCCAAGCCCCTGCACCCACCTGCCTACCTCTCTGTGTCTGTGTGGGTCTAACTACACTAGGACCTCACCTAAGTGGAATCCTACAGGATATGTCCTTCTGTGGCTCCCCGATTCCCCATAGCATGATGTGCTCCAGGTTCATCCATGTTAAGGCTGAAAAATATCCACCCTTGTGCATACCGCATTTTTCTTGTCCTAAGTGCCCCTCAGGTTGCTCCACTCTTTGGCTCTTGTGAATAATACTACTGCGAATGCAGGTACCTCTTCCAAACTCCTCCCCATCATTTCTGATCTTTGTGTCATTCGGGGGCTAGTGTGGAAAGCAGAAGCCTCTTGACTGTTTTAGGCGTCAGGAGACTTGTGGTAATGAGCAGTCATTGGAAGGGCTGGCTACGGGGTCTCCAGGTGGGTGACTGCAGACCTCACCTGTGCATCCGGGAGGCCGCCCCTAATGCTGGGTCTGGGGTTCAGGATACCACAACCACCTTGGCAGCAGCCTGGTGCCAGGATATTGAGATGCTGTTGAAGGGGCTCCTTTCTCCTTGGAGTTCCTTTGCGTGTTGGTCTAAAGTCCACCCCTCTTCCGCTCCTTGGATCAGCTCATCTGCTCCTGGTTCAGCTTTCTGCATCGCGTTCTGCCACCACTGCCGTGGTGCGTGCAGCTCAGAGGAGGGGCTGGGCCTGTGCTCCCTCCTGTCCCCGACCTCTAGCTGCCAGCCAGACTTGTCTCCCGCTGCCACTGGGACCTCCTGTCATCACCCACTATGAGCACAGTGCCCTCCAAAAAGGGAGGTGATGGGATTAAAGCACCCCCAATTGCTGGAACAATTTGGAGCCTCCTTGAAAATTGGTATTCTTGGATTGCCAAATGTTGGAAAATCTACCTTCTTGAGTGTATTAGCCAATGGGCTTCAGCAGAAAACCTCCCGTTCTGCACTGTGGATCCTAATGAGGGCAGAGTACCGTGCCAGGTAAAAGTTCAATTTTCTGTGCTGGCACTGCAAAATTCCTGCCTTAACTGCAGTGTATACTGCTGCCCTGGTGAGGGGCTCGCAGTGGGCAAGGGCTGGGAGATGCCATTTCATCTCCTCTTAGTGCCTGTGGTGGAATCTCTCATTTAACACATGCTTTTGAAGGTGACGGTATCATGCATGCTGAGGGAAGTGTAGATCCTTTTCAAGATGCAGAAATAATACATAAAGAGCTTCAGCTTAAAGACAAGGAAATGATGGGGCTCGTTACAGATACACTAGCAAAAGTGACTGTGAGGGGAGGAGGTGAAAAACTAGAACCTGAGCAGGACAGACGTGCAAAGTCTAATCCCGGGCTGCGGAGCACAAGAGACCTGCTGCTTCTGTCTTAACTAGAGTGACAAGGAGATTGAAGTGTTTGGAGTGAACGCTTCTTGCTGACTTCAAAACCAATGGTCTACTTGTTTAACCTCCCTGAAAAAGACCATGTCAGAAAGTGAAAGAGCGGTGGCCAAGCATCACCTGGCACCTTGTCATTCTGCTTAGTGAAGGGCGTTGGAACTCGGGTTGCAAGAATTGAGCGCTGCAGAGAGACGTAAGTGTCTGGAGGCGAACATGACACAGTGCTTTGCCAAAGGTCAGTAAGGTTGGGTTTGCAGCCCTCCAACCAGCACGCCTTTACTGCAGGCCCAGATGAACTGCACGCACGGACCAGGAGAGAGACAGATGCTCCTCGCCTGCAAGGGAGGGTCATGGATTTTGAAGAAGGGTTTGTTACGGCCAAAGTGATGAAATACGCAGATTTTAAAGAGGAAGGTTCTGAAAATGCGGTCAAGGCGCTGGGAAGCGCAGACAACAAGGCAGAGATTATATTGTTGGAGATGGTGACGTTGGCACCTTGAATACACCTCGGCAACTGAAGAAGAAATAAATTTTATTTCTGAGGTAAACATACAACTTCCAAAAGGCAGATGATTTTTTTTTTAAGTGAAATTTCTGAAAACTGAAGGGACACGTCAAGTTGGGCTCGTGGGAATCTTCTATAAACAGAATTCTTTTTACGTGTTTTAAAATTAAAAAAATAGTGCACCTCCAGTGAGAAGCAAGTTCCCTAAATGTGAACAGCTTTGCTTT